CAAATGTCCATACACTTGGAGCCTGGTCCCACTGTACCATGTCAGATTCATAAAAACATTTTATTATTGATTTCATTGTGATGATACTTATAATTATTTGTTAAATGTCCATTGGCCACATGTGGCATGCCGCATGTCACTGCAACAAATGCGTTATTTTGTTGTATGGCCGGTAGTAAAACATGAGTGCCATGGTTACGCGTTTAAATGCCTGCATCATAAATATTTATGGAATGTTAGTTTTTGCCAAAATCTTTTACCGTTATGTTAAACGATAATTGCTTGTAAACGTCATCGCCTTCTTGTCATAATAATGTCTTCATTTGTGCTTGTCATTGACCGGCGTCTGGGTGAGAAAGAAGATGTTTGACGACGCTATTTATGCAATACTTGGGGGGTTGGTACCACTCATAAATGGGTGTTGGAAATCATATTTCATTGATTGTTTAAATATGCACTGATGATGGATCATAGTTTTGGGTGGACTACCTATATACATATACATAAAATTGTTAAAGATGAGTGACTGATTGTCTCATCAAAGGCAAGAAGAAGCGGCTAGGGCCAGAATCTTGAAATATGGCGTGCGTTGGTGGTTAGGTTAGTAGTTTGTGGAAATTCGTAACTAAAAGTTACTAAAACCTCATCGGGCTTAAACTCTCATAAAAATACTAAAAAGTACAAAATATTGTGTAAATATTGCCAGAATCCAGAAAATTGTTATGCCAAATTTTCTGCGAAAAACATTTTAAAAAATCGTATATTATTGGTATTGAGAAAAAATCCTTCAATTTTAGCAGAGGGATTTATTGAATTTTGTTTTTGTTTAAGGTCTGTGGGGTCATGAAATGCGTGAAAATGTGTACTAAAATGTACTATGTACTATTAAGTCCTTAATTAAACAAAATACTTAATTATATTAAAATATGGTTTTGGAGCCAATATTCTCTACTTTTACTATTGAAATTTTGACATTTTGCCCTATTGGCGTTTTGGAATTTTACATCGAAAAGAAACCCCTCTTCCACACTTTTGAAAAATTGCAGGTAAAGATTCCTCGGAATCAGTGCATTTTTTCCAATCGATTGGAAAATATGATCGAGACTTTCACCATTATATAAATCAGGGATACCCGTTGATATAAGCGCTGTACCAAAAAAAGGAACTAGATTGATAAATTTTTGCTAATACAGTTTCTATATAATAAGAGCTAAAAATATCAAAATTTGGCTAAATTAAATGGAAAACATGGCAAGAAACGTGAATAAGTACTAGAAGACCTCTATTAAATTTCAAAGCTCTGTCTTAAATATTGCGAAATATATTTGAAACTATAGAGGTCTCTTAGTACATTGTCAAAACTATATAAAGACCTTAACAACATCTGGCCCAAGAACCCAGGCATTAATTTGGCATTTTCATAACTCAGACTGGCTATTGTATAGTGAAATTATGAGAATATTTTCAGTGAATTAGTAAAAATTGCTGAATTATTTAGAAATACACAAGATTTTTTATTAACAAAGAATTTATGATTTTTATGATAGATATACAGGGTGTGATAAAAAAACTGCAACAAAGTCAAACGCGATAATTTTGACAAAGTGTCGGAAATATCATCAAATTATAGAATACGTTTAGATTTGTTCGAATTGGTCACCTTTGGCACGAATCATGGCCTTCAAACGGCCAATGAAACCGTCACACGCTGCCCGAATATTGCTCTGCGGTATTTTGGCACATTCCCGGCGAAGCGCTTGCTTCAGGTGATCGACACTTTGGTATTTTTTTGTGCCAACCTTGCTTTCCAAAATACTACAGACACATTAGTCCAAAGAATTGGTATCCGGAGATTTTGGTGGCCATTGTGCGCTGGAAATGAAGGAACGAGGAACCTCATTTTGTAACCATTCTTGGTTGGCGCGTGCTGAGTGCGATGGTGCTGAGTCCTGTTGGAATGCCCAAGGTCTGCGGCCAAGGCTTTAATACACCCTCCAGAATATTTTTGCGATAATATTCGGCATTTATTCTGATGCCACGGTCGATTAATACGAACGGATAGCAACCATCGGCTGTTATGGCGGCCTACACCACCAACATGGCGCTGGAGTTCTGGTGGCCAACCGAAAATGCACATTTTCCTTTTCAAGTAAACACGATCATTTTGTTTGTTTACAAACTGCTGGACAAAGAATGTTTTCTCATCGGAGAAAACTAAATACAGAAGTTCACCACTTTCGCTCTGTTGAGTTAATTTTCTTTCTGTTGCGGTGTTCTTGCACTTTTTGGAATTTCCATGGCTTTACCCCGAGCTCATTATGCCCTCAGCCATATGGCTACAGAGGGTATATATCATTTGATACGGTCAAAACGTGCCTAGTCGAAATAACGATTTTAGACCCTAGGTCTCTTTGGACCAAATCCGTTTCAGAACATTTGGAGTCGATCTAGCGATGTCCGTCCGTCTGTCTCTCTGTCTGGCTGGCTGGTGCGCACGATAACTCTCGAAGGGAGTATCCGATTTGATCCAAACTTGGTACATCGTAATATTTTTGTCAAACTTAGATCGAGTTCGGAGATGGGCAATATCGGTCCACTCCTTCTGGTACCTCCCACACAAAATGTCAACATTTTCAAAGAAAATAATTTATTGCACAGAAAGAGAAAGGATAATCCGATTTTGCTCGAACTTTGCGAATCCTCATATTTTCATCACTGCTAGGTCATATGCGAAAATGGACAATATCGGTCCACTCCATCAGGGACCTCCCCCACAAAGGGTCAACATTTTGAATAATTAAAGCTCTTATAAAATGTGATGTAAGAGTCCGATAGTCTTCAAATTCCACACATGCCAATAATTTTATTAGCCTAAGGTCTGTTGCAAAAACGGAATGTATCGGTCTACTCCTTCTGGTACCTCCCCCACAAAAGGTCGAAATTTTCAAAAAATATTTTTTGCACAAAAAGAGAAACGATAATCCGATTTTGCTCGAACTTTGCAAATCCTCATATTTCATCTCATCTCATCAGTGCTAGGTCATGTGCGAAAATGGACAGTATCGGTCCACTCCACCAAGTACCTCCCCCACAAAGGGTCAACATTTTGAATAATTATAACTCTTAAATAATGTAATGTAAGGATCCGAACGTCTTTAAATTTCAATATTTTTATAAACCCAAGATCTGGTGCTAAAATGGGATGTATCAGTCCACTCCTTCTGGTACCTCCCCCAGAAAATGTAGAAATTTTTAATACCCATGAAGCTCATAAAAAGCCAAAATAACATCCGATTCCATTTAGACTTGGCACATCTCAATATTTCTATCAACACAAGATCTCTTATAAAGGTGGTATAGATTGAACCATTTCTTCTCCCCCATACATAGGGTTCAAGATTTTGAAAAACAAAACTATCAAATAAAGCGAAATAAATTTCCAACTCTCTTTAAATTTCACACACACAAATATTTTTGCTAAAACAAGATCTGTTTTGAAGTTGATATATATCTGCCAACCCCTTCTGCAGTCACAATTTTCAATAATTATATCTGTTATAACTTTCGTAATAATTTAGCAATACTTTACTACTTTCTATTCTCAAATATTTCTCTCAATAAGAAGTCTGATATGAATATGAAATTTATCGGTATTTATGATTTAGCATAAAATTGGACATAAATATCCTTTCTTGTAATTTTGCCCAATATTTCGCTCAATATTTTTTATTTATATATTGTATCAGATGAAGTATAAAAGTGGAATATTTCGGTAGACTCTATCTTGTAAATCACGCACATTTTAACACTTTCTAAATATTATTACATATCTCATATAAAGTGAAGGAGTGAGTCGATATAATCCATACAAGGATCGTCGGAATATTTATATCATATTTTTGGGTCCGATACGAAATGGACAATATTGGCCCATTCCTTGGGAACCTGCTCCATAGAGGGTCAAACGTTTGAATAATTGCTAGTCAAATTATATTTAAATAATCGAACACAGGCTGAGGGTATATATCTGCCGGCAATACCGACTGATACTTTTTAACTTGTTTTTCAATATTTGCCGAATGGAATATTGCTATATGTTCAGCTCACGAGCCATTTTTCGGCAACTGCGACGCGGGTTTCGATCAAGTCGCTTCTTTACTTTTCGAACCATTTCAGCTAATGTTCCTGTTTTATTCCGTCCATTTACTTCCGTCACGGTAACGAGCGATTCTACGAGACACAAAAGATTTATTCACATTAAAATGCTGGAGTGCTCTAACGATATTCACTTATGGTTTTCCAGCCACGAATAAATTTTTTCTGGAAAATTCTCACCAATATGCTTTGTTACGCTTCTAAACAATATGATGTGCTGTCACTGGAATAATTTTAACAGCTGTCGACGAGTGGCGTAGAGATGACAGCAGTCTGAAGTTGGTTGCAGTTTTTTTTGCACTAATAACAACAGGAAGACTATCCTTTTTAGAGCTAAAAAATATTAATAGAGATCTTTGCATTAATCCAAGCATCATTGGTTAAAGATATGGAAAATGTCTTCTAGGTATCGACCCTGTAGAAGGATATTTTTTATGTATTCATATTTTGGTATTCTGAGCTCTTGTTATGTAGAAACACTGTTAGCAAATAATTTCTAATATAGGACCACGCTCCATGAGAATCTTGGCCAAATTTTTCCCATCGATTAATTAAAAAAATGAATTTTGTTATTTTTTTCGGAATCAAGGTAAAAATGCCTACCTCTGAAAATACTCAAAAAGAATTCAAAACTTAAAATTTTTTACTACATTTGAATTAATCTCTTAAATGTAACCCGAGTTATAAAGTCAGACATTCGGCTAAATTCACCCAAAAAATATTTTTCCCGAATCATCGCCAAAAACATTTTTTTTTAATAATTAAATAAATTGATATTAAATTCCGTAGAAATTAAATAATTCAAAAATTAATGATTTATTTAATTTTTTCCTATTTATTTTCAGACACAATGAAAATGGGTCAATCTTTTCGTTGCCTCTTTTGGGCAATTCTCTATTGTGTCCTCTATTTGGTCAGTGCATCGGATGAGGATTTAATGGATTTCGATTTTGGTGATTTGAAGGAAATCGACTGGAGTTACGAAAATAACAATGATCACGATATTTTGAATAAGGCAACAACGGCCGCCAAAGAAAATTCCATAACCTTCGATGATGACATCGATTTCCTGGAGGAAGACGATGATCAAATGCAACGTTACGACTGGCGTGAGAAAATGTTGAGGACGGCATTGTCCAAGGCCCTGACGAATAAAGTTGTGAGGCAGAAATTCATTGAAGTTATGCCAATATTGAGAGTGTTATCCAAACAGCAAAAGCTGGCGCTGTCCGCATTGATAACGGCTCAGTTTAGTGCAAAGAAGGGAAATGAATTGAGGTTGGATCAGGTGGGTAGTTTTTTGTTAATTTTGAATATCTAGTTTTATTATTGGCTGTTTTTTAGGTGCGCATGATGTTCGGTGATGACAAGAGCCTTATTCTACCCGTTGTCTATGACATTGCCAATTTGGTAAAGAATTCGGCTAAGAAATATATTGAGTTCGACTATAGCATTCAGGATTTGGCAAATTTCGGTAAAACCAAATCTTCGGCAGATAGAAGAAAATTGGAATTGACTTCAACGGAATTGGCAGAGGAGGAAAATAATGAGGGTATTGGTACGCTGCCCTACACCGCTGCCGATGCATCCAAGGAAGAAGAACAAGGTGATGATATGGAAGATTTTATGGAGGATATGCCGGAGGAATTTTTAGATCCCATGGAAATCAATAAGGAATTACTTGTTGTAAAGGAGGAAAGCAGCAAAAACAACAACACAGAAATTTTAAAACAAACTGAGGATACTGAAAAGGAAAAATCGAAAGAAAAGAAGACAGATATTCCCATTGAAGATGCTGCCGCAGAAGTTATTGTTGACCATCCACTGAAGATCAATCATGAGCTGCAGAAAGATGTGCCTACATTGGAATTAATTAAGGGCAATATTCCAACACTTAACACAGAAGAAGATATCAGCAAGGTACCAACCACCAAATCAACAACAACCCCCATACCTCTTAGACGCACCCGAAGGGCTACTGAAAATCGTGCCTTTGTCCACAAGCTGATACGTTCAGTGCCGGCCTCTGTAAATGAAGCTGATTTGCAGAGAGGTTTGGGTGGACGTACCTTGAAGCTGAATACCACCGCATTTGCCACACCTAAAGAAACAACACTCACACCGCTGACCACAACCACCCCCGTAGAAGTGGAACAAAAACCATCCAATGAAGCAAATCCCGACTTGGAACCCTATCAGATAGTTGAGGATTTGGCATTTGCCAGTTTAAATGGTACGGAAATTGTACTGAACGATGAAGATGAACCCCAGGAGAGAGAGGTGTCCTCAGAGAATTCCAATCCCGACGGAGAACTTTTACCCACACCTGAAGAATTAATTGCTGGACCACGTTATCGTGTTGCAGCCAACAAATTAATACGTCCCGCCAAAGGTAAACGTGTACCTCCCAAACAGATACGCACACGACCCCAACAGGGCAGCGGTGTTACGCCGCCCAAAAAATGTGAACGTTTCACAGCATCGATGTGCATTCGAACTGAAGACTATCCCATGTAAGCTATGATGAAAAACAAAGTTTTGAGCCCGGGGTAAATGGTTTTATGGAATTTCGGATGGATGAATATTTGAATTTTTCTTTTTTTTTAGTTTTTGGGTTTATTTATTTATTTCTTTAGTATTAAGTTTTATAAGTAGTTAGATTAAAATTATTTTTTTCTTTTGGAAATAATTGAGATTATTTTATACATTTTTTTAATTTTTTTTTTGAATGCTTTGGTTTTGAGAAGAATTTTAAAGCCAATTATATTTTAGAGCTTTGAAATACAAACGTGCTCTTGTTTTGTAAATCGCTTTAAGATTTCTAAGCTTTAAAACTCCATTTAGGAATTTAAAATACTTTAAATTTGGTTTCGGTACATAAACTTTTATATATTCAATGCTGTTGGCCTTTCCTTGCTTCATGGTTAACCCAAATCCTTACCAGTTTATGCATTCCCAGGTATTATATATTTTGTAATAATTGCACTACACGACAAAACTCAGTATATTTTCATAACTACAGGAAAACCCAAAAAAAAAAAAAAAAATGTAAATAAAAATGTTGGTACGTACTTTGGAGTTTTGAAAGTTTGATTGGAACACAAGCGAAATTGGTCGGGAAAGTTGCGTCCATTTTTTTTATTTTCAGAAAATATGCGAATCCTTGGAATCCATGCCTTTCAGATATATGGTGTCTTCGCCAATATTATTGGCAACAAGTCAGGGAATATTTTTCTTATGAAAATTAGCCTTCAGTCGTGCTATTTTATAATATTCATTTTTTTTCTGATGGCATAATGTCCGCTACACCTGCGACCACCAACCATTTAGAAACCAACAAATATATCGGCATTAGATTCCGTATGTGGAAATCACTCTAGAGTCCGAATGAAAATTTTAGGTCCGTAGAATTGAAAATGGGCTTGTAATAGCTCTCAGATAACTATACTGGAAGATTTAAGGTGTAATTTCACACAAAAAATTCGTGCATTTTTTCTAAAAATATACAATTTGATTTTTTTTTAATTCCTTTACTTCGTACCTTTCTGGCTGAAAATCTATACCCTCAGAATGCATATAATTCATGGATTTTTCAGAATATAGATTGGATTTTCAGAGGAATACGATTTGATGAAATAAGATTTTAAATTATATTGCCGAGAATTCAAGATTTTTTTTCGTATGTCTCCTGCAGAACATAATGTGTTTTATACCCTACAACACTATTATAAGTTTGATTGGGCCAAAACATATATAACACCTCGAAATATTGGTCCCCGACATAAGGAACTATATATGGATCGCCGTCCGTCCGTCCCTCGGTCCGTCTGTCAATGTTAATTTGTAATCAAGCTCACGAGATTGAAAATTGGGGCGGGGTGATTGGGTCGGAATAGAAGCCTGTTGTTTTTAGAGATGGTCGCAAAATGTTTAGGGGTTAAAATGGACAAAAAAAAAAAAGGAAAAATTTCCTAATTTTGCTGTTGCTCTACATACGACCACAATTATAGAACAATCGACGCGGAATTTCGCATGAAGTTAGAGTTTAGGGCTAAGCCTACCAATTTGTACGGTCATTGGACAATATTTAGCGAGTAAAATATACCATAATTTTTATGGCCAAAAATATATGAAAATTTCCAATAAATAGCGAATATTTTGAATCGCGGAGAAATCAGTCACTTCTAACCACTACAGTAATGCTGATAGCTAATATATCGGATATATAGTAAAATAGGTACAATATATATGTAAAAGAAACTGAGCTGATTTCCACAATTCTCATCAACTCGGAATGATTTCTTGCCTGAAAAGGATAAAATCTAAGACAAGTAAAAAAGCCGGCCGGGTCGAACTTTAAATGCCATCCAACACTTGGAGCTAATTTGGCAATTTTCAAAAGAATAAAATCCGTTAAAAATGCTGTTAAAATCTTAAAATTACCGAATGTAGCCATCATATTAAGGTATATGAATATAGGAAGGTACTATTATATGGGGCCTATACCAAAACGTGTACCTGCACCAACAATTTTCGAACTTCTAATGCCAAACGAACTTCTAATGCCAAATTGAAAAAAATCCGGTGAATAATGTCGCTAAAATCATGAAAATACCGAGTATGGCGTGGTACCGTTATATGAGGGCTATAAGAAGACTTGGACCTGCACAGACAAAATTCTTTCATAGGCTTTAGTATCCATTACGAACTTCAAATACCAAGTTTGAAACAATTCCGGTGAATAAAATAGCTCAAATCATCAAAATACCAAATTTGGCGAGGTACCGTTATATGGGGACTATAAGACGTGGACCTGCACAGACAATCTGCTGTCATAGGCTGTAGTATCCATTAAGAATTTCAAATACCAAATTTGAAGCAATTCCTACGAATAATGTCGCTAAAATCGTCAACATGCCAAATATAGAGTGGTACCGTTATATGAGGGCTATACGAAGACGTGGACTTGCACAGAAAATTTTCAGTTATAGGGTGTAGTATCCATTACGAACTTTAAATACCGAATTTGAAACAATTTCAAATAATGGGGGTACTGCTATATGGGGGCTATACCAAAACGAGGACCGATCCAATTATCGTCCGATCCTCAAGAAATTTTGCATGGGTGTAGGGTTAGGGTCAGTATTTGAGTCTATTGTTTTTTGAGATGTACATTCAGGGGTTAAAATGTACCAAAAAAAAAAAAAATAAATAAATAAAAAAATAAATCAATAAATAAAATAAAAATAAATAAATAAAAAATAAATAAAAATGAATATTGGGCAAATGCCCCTGGTCAGGTACATCTGGGCGGTGCTCTATGACATCATTTCAAAAACAAAATCTTCCAAAATGTATTTTGACATAAGGGGGCTTCGAACATATTGTAGTGTTGTAGGGTATCATATGGTTGACCCCGCACGACTACGAGTAAGTATTCTGCAATCTGGTTTTAGGGTCTTAATAAGAGAAAAGCTTAAGCTGGTGGGAAAATCTTGGCAAGGTCTCCAAATTCCTACATTTCTATGGCAGACATATTAAAAATGTTGGCAAAATTAAATATTATACCGTCTATACTAAATAGTGCAATTATTTTTAAAATTTGTTGGAAAGAGAGTTTCGGGAAGATATAATAACTGCTAATTCGGTTAGAATTGGGGCCTATACTTTCAAATTCTGATTTTACCGTTTGAAGTGTAACATAACTTTCTCAATAGAATATAAAGTTCTGAATAGAATTTTGTGGAATTTCGACTGAGAATTTTATACCAATCAAGAATAAACTGGGCATTGTGGAGTCAGATCCATTTACATGTCCCCATACGAGAGTATAAAAACTGTTAACCATCGGATTATAAGGACTATTCCATCATTTCAATAAATAAAAAAATAAGTTAACCTTACTTAATAAAATTTAAGGCCTTACCAAAATTTGAAATATTATTATTTTTTCCACATATAAGTCTTTTACATCTTCTGAAAATCAAAGCATTCTTGTTAGGGTAAACTAATTCTATAAAATCATCCTAGTGCACTACTTTGATTTATTTTTGGTAAATATGTCCTTTATAAAAAAAAAAAAAACAAAATAATTTATTCTTAAGTACAAAGAAAAACAAGAACACCTCCTGCATTTAAGTTAAATAAAAATCCAATATATTTAAGTAAAACCCATTGTATATTATTGTGTAAATTCCGTCCATGCTTAGATGGTTGTCGGGGAAATCCTATCCAAAACCCAAACTAAATCCCAAAACCCCCAAGAAATCCTAAAGACCCCCCAAAAACCCCAAACCGCGAAGAATCCCAAGAACCCCAAAAGCTTTTATTAACCGGGCAAGTGGTTCCAAGAGGCAAATGGCACTGCACCGCAAAATTAAACTGAAATGAAATAATTGACACCTGGTAAAAGGTTTCTTTGAAGCGATAGTTTAAGAGTTCATGGCTTTAAATTCTTTTGTTTCCCTTAAATTTTGTTTGAATAAATTAGGGATCTGATAATGGGCAGCATTCGGAGACATCGTAATGCAATGACTGCCCTATTGGCGGAATATACTGACAGGCAGTACAGTGCGGAATTCGGTGATGACTTTGAGGATTTCAATCAGGGCAAGAAGAGGTAAGTTTGGGTGGGGAGATTAAGAATAAAATATAAAAGGGACTTGACACTTCTTCTAGGCGCCAAGATACAAATGAGGTCCACTCAGGCTTGTGTCAAAGCATTGTACGTTATGCCAGACCTCAAAAGGCCCGTTCCGCTTCTGGGGAATGGAAATTCATTGTCAACACCGGCAAGCATACCCAGACTTTGAGATTGGAAAAATGCACGTAAGTTATGAGAATGCCTCAAAATATTTTTTTCCTAGAATTTTTAATTGTTTTCCTCTTCTCCAGAAATCCCCAAGAGACTTGCTCATATCTGTCCTCCAGCTATAAATCGTATTGCTCCCAGGTATACAATTATCATCGTTTGCTGAGCTGGGACAAGACCCGTGGTCTTCATGTGGATATTTTCAAAGTACCCACCTGCTGTTCGTGTCAAATCAATGGCATACGACAACAACAATTTGCTGCAGCTGTGGGTGGCACATTTACCAAAAAGGACTTTACTCCCATTCCGCAGAAACCCCAGGAGGTTTATCGCCCTGATTCTTTTGACTATACCGAGGACGATGAGGAAGAAGATGAGGATGATTTGGCTTTCAATATCCGCAACTATCACCACTACAAACACGACACAAGTTTCGATGCCAATGAATTGTTATCGGGTGGTAGCAATAAGGTCAAGACCAAGGTGCCCAGTCCCACAGTGGGATCTTATTTGAGTCCTCCCGATAACGATGAATTTGGACAGTATCCCTATAAATTGACACGTGATTCAAGCAATATTTTCAAACCCTCTGCACCGGGTCCCTCACCATCGCTTTCTTCATCTGCTTCCTCATCCGTCTCTGCCAGTTCGTCAAATAAAATTTTGCGAGAATTAGCTCGACGCCGTCCTCACAAGAGTTTCAGCAACGACTATCAATCGGATTTGGAGTTCTCGCCCAGTGAACACCACGCCGAACGAGAGGTAAACGTCTATGGCACACCCAATGGCAAGCAAGATCGCACTCAGCACACTAAAATTAAACCTCTTTATTCTGTTATCCACACAGGCGGTAGCAACGACAATACTACGGCCATCACCTCCAGCACCGGAACCATTCGTGCCCAGCCATCCGAAACACTACACCATGTCCCAACTACAGGACGACCACGCACTGTTACCAATGCCCACCAAAAGTCCCCAGCCATCACGGATATCCGCCTCGCCGCCACAGACACCCTACCAGCAGCGGCTGCCGGTGATGGAGCAGCACTATTCGAACCATCAGTACCCCAGCCAACACCAACATCAGCCATCCGTACAGCATCACTACCAACCCATTACTACACCCATGCTGCAGGCGGACGGTCCAAGTCCAAGCCAAGGTTACGGGTCACGGGAGCGAAAGCGACCACCACCACCACCGCAGCACCGACTACGATCGCCGAAACGACCGAATACTCTGAGACGTCATCGAAGCGCAAGGTTATACCGTCTATAACTTCGGATGTTTTTCGCAATACCTACAAGGCCAAATTAAATTTGACTTCGTATTATTCGCCCACGGCTGCAACCATTAGCAGCAGTGGTGGCCCAGCAAAATCCTCTTCACATCCACCCAAACGTATAAACTACAGTTATCATCCCATAATTGATTTTTTTGAATATAATCGGAAAATCCAAACTGCCACGTCAACTGGCGGTACAACAGCCACGACGACGTCGACATCTGTATCCCCTAGGCCATCCAGCACCCTGGCAACACGACGCGTGCGAGTTTCAACAAAACCTCCATATCATCTGTCCTCGACCCAACTGTATTCACACAAAATACCCAATGCAGTACCGGCCACAATTTATCAACAACCCCAAGTTCCCGAACGACACACACACACAAGACACCAAAATGAGCGTAGGATTGGTTACGGTGCTGCTGGTGATGGTAGTAGAGTTACATCCCATACCGATAGTAGTAGTAGTAGATTTTTCCCCATTGATGGCCCGACACCAGATACTTCATATCCCCAGGAGGATACCGAGGTAGCTGATGTCTGGCATCCTGTAATTGTGGAGAACTTTTAATCTTCCTTTCTCTAGTGCTTTGCTAAACTAATGCTTGAACTTATGTCCTTTTACCTACCCAATAACACCTGTTCGTAGCTACTTGCCTGTGTTTCCATTTCCTAATAATTTATTTATTTGATTTAATTATTTATTGCCTTAATATAAATTATTTATTTATTTAAATTATGATAGCTCCCAAAATGTTTCTCTCATTTCAGTAATTTGTATGTGAGACTTAAGATTATATAATAAGTTTATATGTAGTGGTTTAAGAAATATTATATAAAAATAATATTTTTATTATTATATGTTCAATATATTTTTAATAAATATTTCAAATATTTATTTTTTATAAAAAACTTTGGTTATTGAACTGAGTATTTTATTATACCCTAAATCATATAGTGGTAATATCATGTCTTTGTGCATTCGTTTGTAACATGGGGAAGGAAGATATACCCATTCGAGTCAACAAAATGCAGGTCGAATTTTTATCCGATTGAAATGCAATTTTCCAAACAATAGTTTTTGGCCCAAGGACAAACCCTACTGAAATTGTTGAGAATCGGTTCAAATTAAGATAAAGCTCCCATATATATCCTACACCGATTTCGGGTTAATTGTGTACCAAATGGTCAATATTAGAACAAATAGAGTGAATTGTACCACATTCCACCGAATTCTGTCTAGAATCAATTATATCAAATTTGGTGAAATTCGGTTCAGATATAGCTATAGCTCCCATATACATATTTCATTCGATTTGGTGTTTAATTCCCTCACATACGTAATCAAATTTTATCGATATGGGATCAGATTGGAATGTAGCTCCCATATGCAGGGTAAAATGAAAAAACTGTAACAAAGTCAAACGCCATAGTTTTTACATTTTTTTTAATTTTATTGAATAAAAGCAAATAATGTCGGAAATAGCATCAAATTTTAGAATTAATTTAGATTTGTTCGAATTGGTCACCTTTGGCACGAATTATGGCCTTCAAACGGCCAATGAAACCGTCACACTCTGCCCAAATGTTGCTCTGTGGTATTTTGGCCTATACCCGGCGAAGCGCTTGCTTGAGGGAATCGACACTTTGGTATTTTTTAGTGCCAACCTTGCTTTCCAAAATTCTCCAGATACAATAGTCCAACGGATTGCTATCCGGAGATTTTGGTGGCCATTGTGCGCTGGTAATAAAGCGAGGAATCTCATTTTGTAACCATTCTTGGGGGCGCGTGTTGAATGCGATGGTGCTAAGCACTGTTGGAATATCCAAGGTCTGCGGCCAAAATGTTTGCGTGCCCAAGGCTTTAATACACCTTTCAGAATATATTCGCAAGAACATTCGGCATTTATTCTGATGCCACGGTCGATTAATACGAGCCGAAAGCGACCATCGGCTGTTATGGCGGCCCACACCATCACCATGGCCGGCGCTTGAGTTCTGGTGGCCAACCGAAGGTGCACATTTTCAGCTGAAATCTTTGGCAAGTAAATACTATCATTTTGTTTTTTTACGAACTGCTGGATAACGAATGTTTTCTCATTGGAGAAAACCAAATTCGGCAGTTCACCACTTTCGGACAAGCGAAGCAAATCTTTAGCTCTTTTGAGTCTATTTTTTCTGTTGCCGTTGCGATGTAAGTTCTTGCACTTTTTGGAATTTCAATGGCATTACCCCGAGCTCATTTTTCAATATTTTCCGAATGGAATATTGTTATATGTTCAGCTCACGAGTCATTTTTCTACCACGGACGGGGATTTCGATCAAGTCACTTCTTTACTTTTCGAACCATTTCTGCTGATGTTGCAGTTCACCAATTTCGGCCAGGCGAAGCAACTCTCTAGCTCTTTTGAGTCTATTTTCTTTCTGTTGCGGTGTAAGTTCTTGTACTTTTTGGAATTTCAATGGCTTTAACCTGAGCTCATTCTTTAATATTTTCCGAATAGAATATTGCTATGTTTTCAGCTCACGAGCCATTTTCGGCCACTGCGACGCGGGTTTCGATCAGTTCTTTTCATCTCACCCTGTATATCATTTGATGCAGCCAAAACTTGCCTCATCAAAATAATGGTTTTAGATCTTCGGTCTCTTTGGACCAGTCCAGTTTCATGCCATTTGAAGTCGAAGCAACTCTTTAGCTCTTTCGTTCGTGGTGGGAGTGTCAGAAACTTGTACATCGTAATATTATTGTCAAAATTAGATCGAGTTCGGTTATGGGGAATATCGGTCCACTTCTTCTGGTACATCGCCAAAAAAATGTCAAAATTTTCAAAGAAAATAATTTACTGCACAGAAAGAGAAAGGATGATCCGATTTTGCTCTAACTTTGCAAATCCTAACATTTGCATCAGTGGTAGGTCAAGTGCGAAAATGGACAATATCGGTCCAATCCATGAAGTAGCTCCCCCACAGAGGGTCAAAATTTTAAATAATTATAATATGCGATGTAAAAATCCGATTGTCTTTAAATTACACACATCACAATATTTTTATTAACCAAAGATCAGTTATAAGGATGGTACAGATCGGAGCAATCCTTCTTGTACCTCTCCCAGAAAGGGAAATTTTTATATTTGAAATTTAAACCATTTTCGAAGATGGACTGGATTTATTGTGTAATATTGACTTAACTGAACATATAAGTAATATTTTTAAGTTCTGTCTAAAATATTGGAGTTCCTTCGTTATAAGTTAGTGCTGCACAAATGAAAATATTCTGCTCTTTGTGTTTATATGTATAAACAAAAATTAAAAATACTGAAACCGTTAAAAATTATATGAATGTACATTATTTTTCCAAAGCATACTTTACGGTGAAATAGAAATGTTAAATTAAAAAAAAAAAAACGTTCAAGTAACATAATGTTAACCATGAATCGCCTCTATACTTAACATTTCAACGGAAAGAAAGACATTAAATCAAGCCGCATAACAGTTGTCTGTCAACATAATCCATCCAACAGCTTGGCGTGTGCGTTTACAACAACAAAATCTGAACGATAACTCCACACAAACAGAAGAAACAAATCTCGCTGAAGTGAAATACGAAATTTACATAAACTTGTTGACCATTAAAATAAGACCACAAGCCAAGTAAAGTGGAGAAAGAGACAAAAACAAAAAAATAGCTGAAATGGTTTGCTGAAAAGAGTTCAAGTTGAAGGTTGTTTTCGGTTAAATTGATGTGGTACAGTGGTTAAAATAGGGATAAAATATAAATAATAACTAAAATAAAATAAGCAAACCATGCCGATTTGTCTAGGATTGTACCAATAATTACGGACGAAAAAGGGAGTCGGGTCCACTTTCAACAAGGTCACGTTTGTTCAGTGTGTCATAGCAGATTTACTCGCAACCTTTGTCAGGCGCAATGTAACCAGTGTCTTAGATTATGTCTCATATCTCATGCAAGCTATTTTTTTAATTTAAGTTAGATATTGATAGCATTTGATAAACGTACAATCTGTCAACTTATCCTGCATGACAAAGCGCACCAGTTTTCTTTCTGTCCGATTGATCCACAAAACTTAAATCTGTGTATTTAACCTCAGCTATATGGTTCAAAGGATATATATCATTTAATAAGGCCAAAATTTGTCTCACCGAAATTCAGTTAAGGTCTACTTGGACAATATAAATAAGCCATTTAAAATGTAAATCTCAAATTTCAATGTCGATTTAGCCATATCCGCCCATCTGTGGAAAGTACTCCGGCTTCCGAATGAAATTTGGGTCCGTAGAACTTTTTAAAATAGGCCATTTTTATATAGCTCCCATACGACTACTCAGCCAGATTTAAGGGTGTTTTTGGCGGTTTTAGTCATATTTTCTGAAGATAATTTGTTGCAAAATGGCAATTTGGGTTTGTAAGAAATGTCCTTGCAGAGTCCAAACTGCCCATATAGATCTTAGTTTAGGCATGGTCTCCATATATTTTGTGTCACATTTTTCACTGAATTGCATTAAATTAGTAATTTGGAGTTCGTTATGGATATCACCTACATTGAAAGAAAATTCCTTATTAAGATCCATTCTCTCGTATAGGTAATATACAGAGTGAGATAAAAACCAGTAAAGAAAGTCTTAAAGTCGGGCGGGGCCGACTTTATGATACCCTACACCACTTTGCTAATTAAGTAGATCTCCACATAACAATTAAAAGTTTTTATGGGAGAATTCAATCATACACGCTATGATTAAATTTATAATTTAAAGTTCAAAGGACTAAATATGCCGAAGCATTTGTATCTTTTAAATTCGGAATTGTATTGCCCATTTGGTGAACAATTAATTTGAAATCGGATAAAGATATATATGGGAGCTATATCCAAATCTGAACCGATCTCTATAAAATTTGGCAAAGATATTTCTGAGCTGTATTTGATATATTTCCCTGAATATCGTTGTTACGGAGTGCATACTACGACTGTGGGTAACAAATATGACAAATCGGATGAACAGTATATATGGGAGCTATAGCTACATCTGAACCAATCTTCACCAAATTTGACATACTAGCTTCTAGACTCAATTCGGTCGTAAGTGCCAAATTCCATCCCATTTGGACAAATATTTGGTGCACAATAAAAGGTAAATCGGACGAAGTTATATATGGGAGCTATATCCAAATGTATTTGTATATTTCCCCAAATATTGTTGTTGCATAGTGCATATTACGGCGGCGGTGGACAAAAATAACAAATCGGATGAACAATATATATGGGAGCTACAGCTATATCTGAACCGATTTCAGTCAAATTTGGCATACTTATTTTCAGGTCTAATCTGATCGTACGTGCAAAATTCCATACTATTCGGATTGATATTACACGTTTGGTGCACAATAAAAGGCAAATCGGACGCTATATCTAAATTTTGACAGATTATCTTCAATTTCAATAGGGTTCGTCCTTGGGCCAAACAAAAGATCTTTGCAAAATTTCATCTGGATCGGGCAATAAATGCGACCTGTACTTTGTTTACAAAAATACATGGACAGACGGACGGACGGACGGACATGCATAAATCGACTCAGAATGTGATTCTATGCAGATCATCAAAAGGAACTATGGGTCTATCTCGTTTCCTTCTGCCTGTTACAAACAAATGCACAAAGACATAATACCCTGACCACCTTGTGGTGTAGGGTATAAAAAACTGCAACAAAGTCAAACGCCATAATTTATTTTTTTTTTAATTTATTGAATAAAAGCGAAAATATCGGAAATAGCATCAAATTTTAGAATAAGTTTAGATTTGTTCGAATTTGTCACCTTTGGCACAAATTATGGCCTTCAAACGGCCAATGAAACCGTCACACGCTGTCCGAATGTTGTTCTGAGGTATTTTGACCCATTCCCGGCGAATGGCTTGCTTGAGGTGATCGACACTTTGGTATTTTTTAGTGCCAACCTTGCTTTCCAAAATACTCCAGGCACTATAGTCCAACGGATTGGTGTCCGGAGATTTGGTGGCCATTGTGCGCTGGAAATGAAACGAGGAACCTCAGTTCATCACTTGCGAAGCACCTCTTCAGCTTTTTTGAGTCTATTTTCTTTCTGTCGCGGTGTAAGTTCTTGCACTTTTTGGAATTTCAATGGCTTCACCCCGATCTCATTTTTCAATATTTGCCCAATATTGCGATATGTTCAGCACACGAGCCATTTTTCGGCTACTGCGGCGCTGGTCTCGATCAAGCCGCTTCTTTACTTTTCGAACCATTTCTGCTGATGTTGCTGTTTTCTTTCGTCCACTTCCTTGACGTCGGGCTGCGCTTCCAGTATCGCGGTAACGAGCGATGGTACGAGACACAAAAGATTTATTCACATTTAAATGCTGGAGGGCCCAAACGATAGCCACTTGTAGTTTTCCAGCCAAGTACAAAGAAATCACACTATCACGCTTGAATTCCATCACGAAATTTTCTGGAAAATTCTCACCAAAATGCTTTTGCACACTTGTAAACAATATAATGAGCTGTCACTGAAATACTTTTAACGGCTGTCGGACGAGTGTCTTAGACATAACAGCAGTCTGAAGTTGGTTGCAGTTTTCTCATCTCAATTTTATATCTATATATATTAGTAATAAGACTGAGATTTTATGGTTGCAGAGCTTATATCATTTGATACGGTGTCAGGTAACAGATCTGTTTGAACGAAATAATTAAAACTTGGCACATCAAAATATTAATATAGGACTTTGACCGGGTGCGAAAATTTTCTATGATTTATGTTTATAAGAATTTCTACAAAATTTTGTTAATACCACATATTGCCAATTATAGTAAGGTCCAATTACACTGTGCAACACAAAAATAATTATGGGGAAATTCCAGCAGATTATGAAAGTAGGACTAAAGAAAAGGAGTTTTGAAAATGTACATCAAAAGGTAAAATGTCTTTACCATCATCCTTCTAAAATGATGCTTTGTTGGAAATTTGTACACAACTTCACAAAATGTACAGGGTTAAACCTAAAATGTCTTTTTAAATATATGTGAATTCCAGGCGTTTTTTTGACGTTTCTTATTTTTTAGCTCTGCTTTATTTATCTGCTGGATTTGCCTCGTAATTATTGAAACAATTAAAAAAAATTAAGTTCGGACGGACCGAACTTTTAATATCCTCCACCTTAGGGTAATGGACCATTAGAACCAATTATGACCCACAAATCCCATTTTTTAGACATATTCGTGGGAAAAGTTGGCAAAAATCATCAAAATACCGAATATCGGGAGGTACCGCTATATAGGGCCATACAAAAACGTGGACCTATACATAAAATGTTTCGCCAACGGATCTAGAACCTATTATGACCTACAAATACCAATTCTCAGACATATCCGTGAAAAAATGTGGGAAAATTCATCAAAATACCGAATATCGGGAGGTACCGTTGTATGGAGGCTATACCAAAACGTGGACCTATACATCCAATGTTTCGCCACCGCAGCTAGAACCCACTATGACCAACAGATACCAATTTTTAGACAAATCCATGAAAAAATGCGGCAAAAATCATCAAAATACCGAATATCGGGAGGTACCATTATATGGGGACTATACCAAAACGTGCCCGATATATGTCATTTTCAATTGCAACCATCCTAGATACAATACAAATTATTCTGCTACATTTTGACGCTCTACGTCAAATAATGTGGTCTGTATCGTGATTTTAACAGACGGACAGACAGGCAGGCGGACATCGTTAAATCGACTTAGAATTTTATGCTGATTATGAGTATCTTTATACATTATGGGGTCTACGACGGATATTTAGACATGCTACAAACAGAATGACAAAGTTAATATACCCTCCTTTCCAAGGTGGAGGGTATGAAAAGTCAACAAAAATTAATGGTGAAATATTTTCACCATTTTTCTTGAAAATTGTCAACATAATTCTTATTCTGAATTAAATTATTGGGAGACATATTGGCATTTGTTTTGTATTTTTCAATTTTTTTTTTAACTTTAAAATATTTTATTAATGAAGACATTTGTAATCGTCAAGCAAAATAAATCGTCGAGGTTTTGTTAATGTGTATTGAAGCAAGTTTTCACATTAGCATTACTACTGTATTCACTTCAATACCAATAATGACTTTACATAATATCAAGTAAAAACAGAAATACAAAACAAAACAAATTACCGTTCAAAAACTTCAAAAAACACAAAAGAGTTCAAGTTCAAAGTTATGAAGTTGTAAGACGCAACACAAAAAAAAAGAAAAACAAATTAAAAAAAAATAACGAACAAGAGTGGTAAAGTATGTGTTAATGTGAATGATAGACATTTATTTCAGATTTAAACAAAAAGCGAAAATAGTGCACAGAGAAAGTTGAAATTTACAACAGTTAATGACCGAACAGAAAGAGCTATAAAATCTCAATGACATTTTGTGTGGCCTTCAGAAGCGAGCCACTGGCGCCCAGATATTCCCTGATGCTTGGTATGTCGGGGAATTGACGAAAAATAGCTGAGGGTGGTCGACGATCTTTCGGATGAAATGGCTGGGGTAAATTGTAAATACCACCCACTGGGTTAATGAAATAATATTTAGATGGCTTGTTTTCAATTTCATGCAGATTTAGCGACGAGTTTGTGGATTGAGGTAAATTGGCCACAATGGTTTGCAGAGAGTTTAAATATTGATTTAAGTTATGGAAATCAACGGGTTGCTCTGAATTGTCCTGGGGTAGGGTGGCAAACTCTTCCCAATTGCCAAGAATTTCTGGGGATATTTCCGTATCAGATGAGCTGGTGGGTGGCGATGAGGGTAGTGTTGATTCTTCAAGAGTTTGTAAATTTGTGGCTTGCAGAAGATTTCGTATTGTGGTCATGACATCATCATAAATCAAAGATGTGTTGAGCGGTGATGGCGAGGAATCGGCGAAATATTCATCTTCCACGGTGGCCACCAAAAAAGGTTTGTGTCTTAAGTCTTTTGTTTTGCGTTCAGTTAGACGTTCTCCAAAACGTTTAGCCGCTGTTGTTGTGGTCAAACTTTGGGGTCGTTGTGTACTGGAGGGGTATTGTTGGCTCTTTCGGAAAGTTGTTGTATTTACAGCTTCGATTATACTTTGCATGCATTGGATTTGTTGCCTCAAATTATGTATGTGAGTGTGTGCACTTTGAGCTGATGACCTTGAATCGTCGCAATTCTGTTGTAAATTTGTTGAGTTGGTGTAATTTTTGATTTGTTCCATAATAACATTGGTTGCCTTCACTGAATTCTCTAATATTTCGATGACCGCATCTTCGTGTAATTGTGTAATTGGCTTTCGAAAGGGTCTTCCTGTAGTGCGGCCTAGCGTCTCCTTGTGGAGTAAAGTTGTCGAGCCCGTTTCCTCGGTTGTTGCCGTGCCTACATCAATATCTTCATAAACGTTAAAATTATCCAAATAAATTGAAGCATTTTTTACCAATTCATTGATGCGATCCAATAGCTCATCACCCTTCAGCGTTTCATAGTCCGTCGATCCGGTTTGCCTTTTAATGCGTTTCTTGATGAATTTGCGACGATTTTTATTTGCCTTCTCCTGTGGCTGATAGTATTCTCGAATTCCATTGACTTTTTGCTCTTGGCCCTGAACATATTGCTGTTGTTCCTGCGACTTTTCCCAAATTACAGTTTGTATCTTTTTAGTCTTGACTCGTTGTCTAGGGGCCGAAGGAATTTTGGGTTTATATTTTTTCAAATAATTTTCAGTTTTCCTTACGGAAGCCAATATTTCGATGGGTAAATTTTCGGTTTCTTCTATTTCCAAATCCATATCCAAAGGTTTTTTGGTACCTCGTAAATGTTTCAGGGGTTTCTTTGGTCCAACATTAATTTGAGGTCTGCCTGGTCTTGCTTTCCCTGGAGGGTTTTTTGGTGGTGGTGGAGGTGGCTCTCGTTTGGCTGGTTTGATTTCTCTGCCAATAATTGCCTGTCCATTTTGTCGACTCTGCATTAATATTTTTAATTGTTCAAAATGTTTTGGAGGCTCTATAACATGTATCACATCATCCGCATCTTCATAGACGAAGGCATTTCTAACTCGGTGAATACTGGGATATGATTGTGGTGGCGGTGGGGTTGCTGCATGGGTGGTTGTTTCGGCTGCCTCTTCCCTTATTGTCAATGCCTGTGCCAAGGATACACCATACAACAGCAACAAATATATAAATGTTTTCGATTGATGCAACACGTCCATGGGATTTTCCGAAATCGTGGATATTTGAAAAAAAAAAAACTCTGCGTACACTTGAAAATGTTTCGAACAACTGCCATGAAAATCCATCGATTCCAAGACTTTATAATATTTGCGCGATTTTTTATATTATATTTCCACTTGTCCAACCACTTTTCCACATTGAGAGTTACTTCAGTGGCCGTTTTCCAATATCTGCAAAATAGCTGTATTACCTCAACACATGAAAATGAAGACAAATGAAAGTGAAAACTGAATTGGAGTCTTTTTTTGTTGCATCTTTAATTGTTTGCTACACTTGGAAATATAATTTTGAAATCTAAAAATTATAGAAAAAATTAGATCAACATATTGAAGTATAAATGAGGGAAAAATATTGGTATGTGTGATCTTAGAAGAAGATTAATATTATACTAATTTCTGTCAAGTTTGGATCAAATCGGAATCTGACTTCAAGAGCTTCATGTGACCAACCTGTCTGACAAAAAGATGGTCTAAAGAGAGGCTGATGCTATAGAAGTATATGTCAGATTGAAAATAAAGGAAATATCCAAAGTGACTGAGTGGTCGCAAATCAAAATATAAGTTTTAGGTCAGGAGGGAAAATGCTTAATATCAACCCACACCTATATTATTTTTGGAGATTTTCGCAAAATAGAACAGTGTTGGCATGTTTGTGTTTTTTACTATGGTATCCCGACATAGTATTTTGTTGTGGCAAAATGGTCAGGCCTAATCCCATTATTGTTGTTTAGACCAAAAACTGATTTTATTATGAGTTTGAAGTTCCTCTAGAGGACACAATTGTAGACCATCTGTCGCGGAATTTAGACTTAGAGTTTAGAATAGACAGAAACCAAAAATTTAGCTTGGCCATCGAATAATATGTTTTTAGCGTATGAAAAGGGCACAACTTCGGTGTTAAATATACCAAAACCTGTATTTATCAGAAAATTTCCCAGAAAAATGCATTAAAAAGCGGAATCACAAAAAAAAAAAAAAAAAAAAAAACGGAAAAGGCAACTTCTGAGCATTAAAATTTATGTCGGTTTTGTAGACGTTTTTGATACGGTGTGACAAAATGCATTCTTCTTATTAACTGCAAGAAATATCGAGTAGATTGTGAAAGAAAAGCATTTTGAAAATTTACATCGAATCCGTTAATTTTAGGAGTGTCATCGGCAATTTTACTGATAACAAATTTGAAACCCTCAAGCGAGCCACCAAAGGAGTCCTTTGATATCTATTTTAAGATATGATTAAAACCTCCCTTTAAATGGGGTCGGAACATGTTAAAATATTCTACAACACTTAATCATAAAATTTTACTGTAGACCTATATACGCCAAGGGTCTACATCTTACCTAAGTGCCAGTAATTCGTATAAGGTGAAATAAAACAAGTAAAAAAGCAGTAAGTTCGGCCGGGCCGAACTTTGAATACCCTCCACCATTTGGAACGACTTAGGAAATTTTCAAAAATCTCAAAAATACCGAATATCGTAAGGTGCCGATATATTGGGGTGATATACAATATTGTGGACCTATACAGACAAATCTACATCGGAAAAGTAATCACAATGAACTTCTTGTGTGGAATTTCACACAATTCCATTGAAAAATGTGGTTAAAATCATCAAAATATCGAATATCGGGGGTACCGTTATATGGGGGCTATACGATATCATGGACCCATAAAGACAATTCTCATTCAGTGGGTAAAGTGCTCACAAGGAACTCCTTGTGTAGAATTTCAGACAACTCTGTTGAAAATTGTGGCTAAAATCATCAAAATACCGAATATCGAGGTGTACCGTTATATGGGAGCCATACGATATCGTGGACCGATATAGTCCATCTTCGAACTTGACCTGCCTGCTTTATTCGTTTTGACCGTAGCGTGATTACAACAGACGGACGGACAGGGTAAAATCGTCTGGAACCTCATTTACGGAGGAACCTCATTTTGTAACCATTTTTGGGTGGCGCGTGCTGAGTGCGATGGTGATGTTTGCGTGCCCAAGGCTTTAGTTCTGGTGGCCAACCGAACGAGAACATTTTCTGCTGACCTCTTTGGCAAGTAAACACGATCATTTCGTTTGTTTACAAACTGCTGGACAACGAATGTTCTCTCATCGGAAACGGAGAAACAAAATTCGGCAGTTCATCACTTTCGGCCAAGCGATGTAACTCTTTAGCTCTTGTGAGTCTATTTTCTTTCTGTTGCGGTGTAAGTTCTTGCACTTTTTGGAATTTCAATGGCTTTACCCCAAGCTCATTTTACGAACCATTTTTCGGCCATTGCGACGCGAATTACGATCAGGTCGCTTCTTTATTTTTCGAATCATTTCTGCTGATTTTGCTGTTTTCTTCCGTCCACTTCCTTGACGTCGGGATACGCTACCAGTATCACACAATCGGTAACGAGCGATGGTACGAGACACAAAATATTTATTCACATTTGAAATGCTGGAGTGCTCTAACGATAGCAACTTGTGGTTTTCCAGCCAAATATGTAGAAATCTCACTATCACGCTTGAATTCCATCACGAATAACTTTTTTTCTGGACAATTTTCATTAAAATGCTTTTGTACGCTTGTTAACAATATAATGATCTGTCACTGGAATAATTTTAACAGCTGTCGGGCGAGTAGCTTGGAATTGACAGTGGTCTGAAGTTGATTGCAGTTTTTCATCAAAATATATTTTTCAAATTTTATCGAGATAGGTTCAGCCTAATTGAAAAAAATGTTGGCATATCCGACCGAATTTAGCCTAGTAGCAAGTGCTTCAAATTACGTGAAAATATAGCTATGTATCCCATATACATGTTCCATATGATATAGTGTTCAAGTCCCTGACATTCGTAATATGCACTCCTCGACAATTATATTTGGTACCAGACATCTTATAGAGCTCAGATATACCTCTTTACTTTATCGTGATCGTTTAAGATTTGGATATAGCTCCCATATATATCCTCACCCGATTTCCCTGTTATTGTTTACCAAAAATGTAATATCGGTCCAAATTGGTTAGTTTTTTTTTTCAAATTTAACCGAACTTCTCGAAAAGATATCGTGCACTCCATGGCAATGTCACTTGGTATGAGAGATAAAAATGTCTCCGTCAAATTTGGTGAAAAAGTAGTTCCCTCTGAAACCAAATTGCAACTGCTCCAAAGTCATCATATGCATTTCAATAAGGTTCATAGCTGGTATGATCTTCCTCACATATATTTTCAATATAAACGTTTTTGTTACGGGAGCTCTACTAAATATGAATAGTGATGTAGGTTAATATATAGTCGGCCCCACCTGACTTTTGACCTTTTCTTACTGGTTTTTAAATAAGGTAAACAAAATTTTGCTGATAATTTTTTCCTCGAACTCTCTTCTAGCTGATGCATGAATGTAACATAAAATTTCGTCTAAGTCCGAAAGTGTTAAAAGAAGATTTATTCTGCATTCAATTTTTCCTTAAACCTGAGAATAAACCATTTAGTAAGCAAAATTATTTAAAAAAAAATTACATTCGATTCGATTTATATGAAATTTGTATTTTGGTTTCTTTAGGGGGGTGGAAAACCCTTTGACAGAATATATTTAATATAAGTATAATATTAAGGGCCTCCAGCATAAAAACGTCTTCTATATCTTGTATGTTTGATTGCGTGCATGTTTGTAATTTAAGCCTTTCCTGAAAATTTCTACATAATCTATAGCATCGCCTGAAAGTAACATAGGCTATAGAAATTTTTGAAATACCACTTGAAACTAGAGATATAACATCAGAATCGGAGATACCTCCAAAAATGTAGTTTTTGTATGCACATATCTCTTGATAGGTTATATATACAATTGTATCTACAATTTGGAATGTGTGATGAAATTCGGTACAAAAAATTGGCCAAATTATATAGAAATCGGATCAGATTTGGGTATAGCTCCCATATACATTTTCAGCCGATTGGGTGTATTTTACGCACCAAACACGATATGTATATCCGATTGTAATGAAAAATATTTTTTCAAATTGTTTTGAAATCGGTTTAGATTTGGATATTATTTTACTAGGAAACATAGGCCCACGTCGCTTTTGCAATGGCATTAGTTCAATCGTTAAAAAAAATTCTACACAACAATTTAATTGAGGCTACGATTATTACGGGGAAGTATGTAAGTTCAGTTTATTTCTACATCGACTCCCTTTAATAGCAACAGAAATGAAGTTCATCTTTAAATGAATGCAGTTTCCTGCACGCTTGGCATTTGCAATGACAGATAATAAATCCCAAAAAAAAAACCTCTTCGTGTATGTGGACTTAGTTTGGCATGTTCACGCGTTGTTTGGCCGATTTGGTTGTTTACGCTCCTGAATTAACATAAAAAGTTGTATATTCTAAAGCATTAGCAAAACGCTCCGTGTTCACTCAGTTATATTTATAAAGAGCGACAAAGGATCGACCGCAAATCGTCGTATAGACCCTAATATACGGCTACATTCTGTATTTTTAAGATTTTAACAGAATTTTAAACGGATTTTATTTTTTTGAAAACTGCCAAATTTGTACAAAATAGTGGAGGGTATTCAAAGTTCGGCCCGGTGGAACATAAGCCTTTTTACTCCTTTCAAATAATGGAGGGTAAAAATGAGAGCTTGTAATGAGTAATTTTGCTGGGAAGTTTCAGCAAATGTCAGATTTAATATTCGAAACGTTTGTTAAAGCTAATCTATATCTATTTCTCGTAATAGCATGCAAATACAAATTTCTGCAAGTGTAATAATGGCTATCTGGTGTCCATGCAGCAGTACAACATCCTCAATGTCGTTCACGTCTGGTTTGGTTGGTATTGTTTTTATTTTTTACAGTTTTGCTGGTGTTTCGTTTGTTTTGTTTTTATTGATATTTTTCGCACAGTTCACTTCAGCCAATGAATGAATGAATGACTGGGTTGTACATCAGTGGTCCGATGGTCGCTGTCATGGTCAGTATGATGTTG